CTTGTATTTATCAACGGTGTCATCAATTTTTAGTTTCTTTTTCAAAACCCATATACAACCTATTGATTTGTGATAAGTGGTATATATAGCGCTTATTGTGTTCTTTATCAATATTTCTTATGTTTATTTCCTTGTTTTATTCATCTTTTACTATTTTTCGGTATGGTTTTATGTTTTCAACTGATAAGGAGTGTCAAGAGTTAAAGCGGAACAAAAAAGGACTAAAAAACACAAGAAGAGGAGTCTCCCAATACACAAAACTCGTGGCCAACACGGTTGGTCCGTGTTAACTAACATGGGTCTTGTTAGCACCAGGTCCTCTTCCCATATGAAGAAGTCGAGGAAAAAACGGGCAGGTCATTTTTCCTAACACGGGCAGTGTCACCTAACATGGCCCACCATGTTACACGACACTGTATGTGTTGGGCTCAATTCCAACTACGAATTTTTGGCGCCTTATAACGGTTTTCTGACTTTAGGTGTTCCAAATTGATCCATTGAAGTCCTTAAAAGCCTCACACAATTACTGTACGAATTTAAATCTCTTGATTGTATTTTTATCTATAAGTAGTCTTGAAAATCATTGGATTAAAAAATAACCTTACTACATTTCACTCGTTTTCAATTTTAGTTATCTTGTTCTAGATTTTACTAAATTTATTTCTTGCAACTCTAAGATTTTATGTATTTTCTAACCACGTTTCTTTATCGTTATTCAAGTAATCTTATCTTCATTTAGGTTTATTTAATTTGGTATTGCTTTTATTTTGTTTGTTAAATTACGCATGTCAATATTTTTATCGTTTATTTTTCAATGTCTCTAATTATGTGTGAGTAGTCCCTTAGGGACAAGGGGTCATGAGATCTATCTCATGATGAATCTTTATTGAATCATCTGTATACGAATAATGAGAAAAATAAGATCAAATTTTATTTTAGAGTCAGAACGCTAAAATATATTTGTGCTATTTGCGAAAGTCGAAGCAACCCAAATGTCGATTGTATATTGAAAGGGTATAAATCGATACTCGGAAGCGGATTGCTAAGCAACCCATTTCGAGGCGATGCTGAAATGGTGTCTTGCTCTCAGTTGAGAAAGCATCATAGATGCGCTAAATAATGCTCTTAGATGAATGATTTAAGCTAGTGAAAGCGGGTGAATTATCCATCCAAGAGAGTACACACGTTGTGAAAGTAGGTGTTGTATAATTTTGTCTATTTTCTATAACTTGCTCTATTTTTATCATATTCAATACGGATAGTCAATTGGGTACGTTTGGATAGGTAGTCATGTACCTCATGTCATGAATTTTATTTCTGTTAATTTTATTCATCAACACTGAAACCTCAATAATTCGATCGCTTTAGCTTTACACTGCTAGAGTAAAAATCGGTAATCAAACAATAACTCCTTGTGGTTCGATATCTTTTGTACTACTTTGCATTTCCGTGCACTTGCGGCTTACATCAATTTACAACCAGGAGGCAAATCAACTAAATTTTAGGTCATGTTAGATTCTAGAGTATCTATGTCATCATTAATAGCTTCTTACCACAAATCAACACCCATAGATGACAAGGCCTTTTGAATATTTGTTGGATATTCTTTTATTGTATAGGCTACATAATCAATCATATAGTCTTTAGAAACTCTTACTTTATTACTTCGTCAAAGTTTTGTTTCTACTTCTTCGTTGCTTTCGATGTTTCTTATCAAGAATGTGATTAGATTCAGTGCCCCCATTATTTTTCTATTTGAAAGGAACTTTATCTTAATAGAGTTAAACATCACTTGATTATAACACATATGCCTTATTGTTATGAATACACATTACTAGCAAGTTTAACTCGTTTCGGATCCAAAATCCTGACATAAGACAGACATCCCCAAGTTCTAAAATAAGACAAGTTTGGTTTGTTTTCCTTAAAATAAATATCATAAAGAGAGATTAGTATGTAGCAAACAGTCAATAACCCCCCCCCCCCCCCCCCCCCCCCCCCCCCCCCCCCCCCGCTAACCACCCACACCCCCAAGCGAGATGCAACACCAAAATTCTGCATAATAGAAACGACTAATTCAGTAAGAATATTGTTATTTCTTTCTACTCTGCCATTTATTTCCGAAGAATATGGTGCAATGGTTTCATGTATAATTTTATTAAATAAACTAGAATCATACTCAGTTCTCCAATCACTATGAAACCTCTTAATTTTCTTACTAAATTGAATTTCAATTTCACTCACAAAATTCTTAAACATATCAAGTCAAGCACTTCACTTTCATTCTTACTAAATTTACTCTCAATTTCATTCACAAAAATATCATTTTAGTGATGATGTACAAATCTACCTCAATATACTGACTAAACTTTGCCTTATTTAAAAGAAAACTAGAAATAAGATTTTGTATAATCTCAAGAGTATGTATGACATCCTTTAAGATTAAAATCTTTTTAAATGTGGACTTCAACTCCACTTCTCCAATACCATAAGCATTAGTGGTGTGGGAAACTCACAGTAACCCTTTCTTATTTTCAATATTTATGTGTGTATATTTTGAATATTGCATGATCATAATAGACATGACAAGAGGAATCAATGTCTATCCACAACCATCATATCCACCAACTATGTTGATTTTAGTGGTCATAGCAATAAATTGTTCATTAGACAAGTTAACTTGTGTATTAGGGGCAGCACCAGGTTCAGACCTACTTTTACATTTCTTGGCCATATAACATGATTTTCTACGGTTGAAACAAGAAAAAATTCCAACGTCATTTTGTTTAGGTTGTGATTTATGCCTAACAATTGAGGAAATTTGGGTTTTCATTCTTAAATCGGCTCACAATATTAAAGTTTTGATTCTTCAATGGTTTTTTAAATGGCTTCAAAATTGCATCGAATTTCTTTTGTTTAAAACAGCCAAGACTTTTTTTATCATCTATCATCTCTATGAGATTCTTCTTCAATTCCAAGAAAAATAATCAGACTCTCAATTAAAAGTTCTTTTATTTTATGGCAAAACAAATTTTTAAAATCTTTCAAACTAAAAGTATTTTATCAATAATAAAAATAATTTGAAATTGTTCATTAAAGATATAACTTTAGTGATGAGCTCATGAACAGTATTTTTTAAAATTTTCGTGACATTGAACCTCTACAACTTTCATCTACCATATGATACTTCTCTTTTTGTAAAGATAATATTTTTCTTTCAATAAGGGTGATTTATTTCCTCGAATACTTCTTGATCTTACCGAATCATAATAAACTGTCACAGCTAGCTCGGGCAGAAGTTGAATGAGGTGGGGGTACCTGCAAGACACTCCGATGGTAAAGTAAGTTGCGAAATGAGCAAGCAAGTGTAAGAGTTAGAAAGTGTTGAATACCTAGCCCTCTCAGAAGAGAGGGTATTTATAGCCCCCAACGTTGGACAAAGGTCTCCATTATTGGGTCACGTTGAGGCTCAATAACAGGAACTGACAGGGCTTACGTGTGTATGGAGTCCAGCTGTCAACTGCTCCGCGAGAATAGGGTTGGACCTGTGATTTCCGGAGGGCAGTTTAAGATGACTGTCGTGAGATCGTGGGCCACGTCCTCCAACAGACGTGTGGGGAGTTGCCCAATGATCCCTAACTTGGACTGTCTATTTTTGGACTTCCTATTCGAAGGGCAAGTGTGAACCCAATCCAAATCACTTCTCTTTTTGTAAAGATAATATTTCTCTTTCAATAAGGTGATTTATTTCCTCATGTACTTCTCTTTTTGTAAAGATAATATTTCTTTTTCAATAAGGTGATTTATTTCCTCTGATACTTCTCTTTTTGTAAAGATAATATTTCTCTTTCAATAAGGTGATTTATTTCCTCTGATACTTCTCTTTTTGTAAAGATAATATTTCTCTTTTCAATAAAGTGATTTATTTCCTCAGCTGTAAATCTTTTTCAATCATCTGTGGAGCAGATTTAAATTCATCAAAATTTCATCTTAGTTCACGCATTTTTAACCATTGTTTCCATTCCTCCGGATGGAACAATAGGGATGTCGTATGTTTCCTCCGGATGGAACAATGGGAAAGCTCATTTTAAGGTCAAGAAGTTTTGCACTTTTTGTTGTGAACATTTGAATTGTAATTCCTCAAACTTAAACCATTTTGTTAAAAGTACTAATAATTTCTACGGCAGTCATGGGAGTTTATAAATGCCTTAAAATTGTTATCTTATGGTTTTGAAAAAAATCGCCACCGCTAGCCTGGGTGATTAGAAATATTTTCATGTTTACATCATGTGCAGCAACCATCAACAACAGTATCCCTCTATACTTTACGTACAAACATGGACTATGACAATTAATATGCAAATTGCAAAATTCAGTGATACACGAATGGACATCTCTGAATTCTCAAATATTGTGAAGGCTTGTTTTAAGACATCTCTGAATTCTCAAATGGCACCTAAATAACCAAACCAATTGTGCTTGACAAACTTAATCAGAACTATGTATATTTATTCAAAAAGGTTATATCCAAGGTTTGAATCAAAGATAATTTGAATATCATTAAATTTAAAATTACATAATGATGCAACTAGAAGGTGTAGAAGAAAAGGGCAATACTAGAATGACACTCATGAACAGAACCTATTATTATTGCAATTTGCAGGTTTGATTGAAGTTTATTTCGGCAAAAACACCACAGCAAAAAAAACAAAGTCAGCAGAAAATCAAAGTCCAGAGACACGTAAAATCATTGATTATCAGCAACAACTAGACAAAAAACAAAGAGGCAAAATGAAGTGCAATACATTCAAGAATTAAAACTGCATAAATAAAAGTACAATTTTACTTAAAATCTGAAGCCGTAAACAATATTTATGCCACTTGTACCATACTAAAGGAAAAAGTTTCTAAGCTACAAAAAACTGACCCAAATTATACTTTGGGGTAGGAAAGGGTCAAAATAACTTAAGGGGATGGAACTTAATAAGAACAAGAGTAGTTTATTCCCAGCCTGTAGCTGCCACGGATTCAATTCCGGGAGTAGGAATTTGTTGTGGAGGTGGAACAGCTTCACCCCATTCCCCCTGCAACTGAAACAATATACTCTATCAACAAAACGTGAATACACATGATGCAATGACAGCAGTAAAACAAATTGGAGATCAAGGAAAACACTTAATCGAAGATGTAGGGTGGTGCCTATAACAATAATTTAGTTTAGGATAATTTAAATGAGCAAATAATTGTGTACCAGCTTCTGGGGCTGTCCAGTTGACAGCAGGAACTGCTGGAATAGGCTGTGGAGCTGCATCAGGCCATTGTTGCTCAATGGCTGCAGGCCACTGTCCATCTGATGGACCACCTGCATTGAAGTCAGCAATGGCGTAATCTGGAACAGGAACTTCATCCTCCTCTTGCTCTTTGGCCTCTTCGGGTTCTCTGTAGAAGAACAGATCCACCTGCATTGAAGAAAACATGAGGCAGTGTGTTTAATCTAAACTTGCCAATTCAACCTCAAGTTCTTGAAGGTGGGGCATAGTCTCATGTCTGTATAGTTCATATTACAGAACATAACAGAAAACTACACAAAGAAAAAATAGTTTACCATCACATCCCACTGAAGACCAGGGCGAATAGTACCCACGCATTTGTAGCACCATCCTAGCCAAAAGCCAAAAGAGACAACCAATGCTGTGCTTCCCCTTGTTGTTAGCAGGAATTCCAATATCAACATATCTCATAGGAGAATCAGTGTCACAGAAAGCAATTGTGGGAATGTTCCCAAGGGCAGCTTCCTTGATTGGCTGCACGCAGACAAAACATGCATAGAATATTAACCATAGCAGGTGAAACTAAAATTCAAAAATTATCAAAGGATAATGGTGAAACCTGGTGATCAGTTCTTGGATCAGTGAGGATGAGAAGACGAGGCTCACTGAAGGAAGTTTGGAGCTGATTGGTGAAGGTTCCAGGAGTGTGTCTTCCAGCAATAGCATGAGCTCCGGTGTACTGAGCAAACTTAAGAACGGCTCTTTGTCCATAAGGCCTTGCAGATTGGACAATGATATCCTGAGGGTTTTCAATGGCAACAATGACTCTTGCAGCGAGTTGTAATTTCTCCCAAGTCTTTCCAAGATTGATGATATAAATCCCTAAATTAAAACAAAATAATCAAAAATTAATCTTGTGTAACACAACAAACTCTTAAAAGCAGAAAGTGCACCTAAATGCCTAAATTGAGAGAAATTAAATTTTAATACAAAAAAAAATGATTTTAAAAAGAGAACCAAACAAAACGCAAAACAAAACCAGAAAGGCACAAACAAACTATTACTTAAAACCCTGACAAACTAATACTAAAAAACCCTTTTACAGAAATCTAAAGTGAGATACAAGAATAAAACAACAACACTAATACCATTCTTCAAAAGTCTAAACAGGGTTATTTTCAGCACAAATTACTAACATGGCCAGTGAAATAGTAATTAAAGTATAAATTAGACTGTTCACAAAAAATAATTGCACAAGCAAATAGATCAACAAACACAACAAAAATTGCATAATTCCCTTTTCAAATAAACATACAAATGTGTGTATAGAAATTCATCAATTAAGCCTGAGATACCGAGAGGATCTGAGTACACTCATTGCTCTACAAACTGCTGTAAACTTCTTCTCAGAACCTAAAACTACTCAAAACTCCAACTTTTTTACAATGTTCAAGATTAACAAAACTAAACAGACAAATACGGTCACTAAATTCATTTAAACTACGACCACAACTAACAATGTTTCTTCTTTAAGTGTTTTCAATTATCAATCTACAACTTTGGTACCTTAAGATCGTTATCTTGTTCAAATTACAATGCATAAAGAATTTCAAATGAAAACAACAAAAGATCCTCTAAATCTCAATTCTCAACCATCTAATCTCAAGTACATTAATACATGAAGCTTAAAATATGAACGACATATAACGAAACTTGATGGGATTTGAATCTTACCGTCGTTCCTGCGTTTGAAAATGTAACGCTCCATCTGGAAGTCACAGTTCTTGGTGCCGAGGTGGACATCAGCCGCCAACATCATCTGAATATCAGCTTCCTTCTGAGACAACTGACGTGGTCCTGCTGCGGAGGTAGCCATGGCTGATGGTGTTTATTGCCGGTGACCGGAGGAAACCTGAAAAGCTCTGATTGCGGCACTCACTATGAACAACTTTGCTAGGTTTTGTTTCAGCAAGGTAAACTAAACATGTAATATAGCGATGCTGTATTTAGTGGGTAAATGACCCGGCCCAATATTCAAACACTCGGATTGGGCTTGGCCCTTATATGTTTTTAAGATTAAAATAAATTTTATAAATTATTTTTTTTCAAAAATACTATATTATAATAATTCAAATAAGTCTTTGTAAATTATAAATATCAAAAAATGAATATATTATAAATAAATAATTATAGTAATACTTATTATGAATATTGAGTTCATTTTGTACTAATGTAAACACCATTTAATTTAATCAATAATAAAAATATTATAAATATAATAGTGTTAAATATATTTTTCTTTCTTATAAGTATATCAAATTTGTTTTAGTCCTTAAAAAAATTTATTAATAAAGATTTTGGAGGACTTATAAATTTTCCATTTTTTTTAAAACAGACCAAAAATATTTATCCAGGCCTCATGCCTTTAATGGCACGGGCTAAAATATAATTTAGGATATTTTTTCTCTCTACTTTGTTTTGGACTTTAAGAGCATATTGGGCCATAAGGTGGGGATACAACATTATTGGATCTGTTAGTGTGCATGAACTTGTAACCTCTGACTTGAATGGCTTTTTTCCAAAAAAAATTGCAAACCCTACCAAAACATGTTTGGCCTTCCACATCATCATTGTGGAGTTGCTCTACTACGGTTTGACAATTAGTTTCAAACATCACCATCGTATACCCTCCATTCTCTGCTAGATCGATAGCCATTTTCATAACCATCATTTCAGTAAGTTTCACATCATCATTATCTTTCATCTTCTTGTTACAAGTCGTTATGATATCGTTGTTTTCGTCTCTAAAAAATATTCTCAATCCTCACTCTTAGTGGTTGGCTACAATTGCATCTGTGTTACATTTCATCCATCCCTCATTAGAGGATTCCAGCCGTTCAGAGTTGATTTACCAAGGTTATAAGTTTTTCCCCTATTTTTTCTATCATTAATAATCGATTTATTTATTTTCCCTTGTCTTAACCTCTCATAAATATGAACTTTATTTCCTTTTTGTTGTGTGTTCGCTTCAGTGGTCTGGATTTTCATGTACCTCGAGTGTTCCTCCTTTTGATGCTCAACTTTCATAATGACACACTCCATCTACTTTAGGTACTCCTCGTCTCTTTTATTTTCATTCGAACTCTTGTTCTTCCCTTTTCTAGAACTATCTCTAAACATCTTATCTTCAGATTGTTGGTTTTGGATTTGCAAGCTGGTGTCGTTAGTTCGCAAGTTCATATATTGAGGCTCAACGCTTGAATCTACTATCTTATCCTTACAATCCTTCTGCTTAAGATCCTCGTGAGTCTAGTTCTTACTTTGATTATTATGATCCAGAATCTTCACTACTGCAAAATATATATTTCGTAACATCTTATTACCCCGGTCATATAATCAACCAAAGTAATATTTCTTATTTAGATGTCTTCATTTATTAAAACACTTTTCTCCATGGTCCATACTCCTAACATTGGTGATATGTAAATGGTTACATGCTTCGAATCTCATAACCAGCATTTTTTTGTTACAAAAAAGGGGTGTGTTCCTTGGAGTTCTATTTTTAAACAAAATTAAAAAAATTCACCATGGTCCAAATTGACAATTGTGATGAAATAATATGACAATTCACCACGATTCTTATTATCAATCATGGTGAATATATTACATATAAAAGTTAACTTATATCACTTCAGAACATAGTGCGCTCAAAGAAAACCCTAACTTCTTTCACCTTAACTGAAACTCTCAAAACTCAAACATAACATCTCCAACTAGTATGAATAAAAGGTAGGTTACATGAATCCTTACAAGATGAAACAAGTGCCTCATGTCTTTGTCTTCATTTTCCACTGATCTTTTCAATGAAAGGTGTTTTGTGAAACATTTTATGAGTTATAATATTGTTGTTGTTCAAAATATTTGTCTTATTTTTTTCAAAATATACGTGAAACATTTGTCTTGGTCTAATATATGGTTTATTGTTTTCTTGTTGTTAAGATGAGATAATAGTTTTAATATTGTTATTTTTTATGAATGTTGTTGTTTATGTTAAAGTAAGTTATGTTTTTGTTGATAAATATTGTTGTTTTTGTCGATAAATGTTGTTGTTTATGTTGAAGTATGTTGAAAAATGTTGAAGTATGTTGGTAAATGTTTAAGTATGTTGATGAATGTTGAAGTATAATCTATGGCTTCCCATAATTATTTTTTTGTCTAGAAGCCTCTTGATAAGTATTTATGATGTTTAGAATAGTTTTAGCTTCTTTCTCCTCAGTTTTGCAAAAAAAAAATGAGGTTGTCATATGCAAAAAATTAGATGAGTGATGTTAGAAGTGTTCTTGGCTATGGAAATACCATTAATAAGATTCTTTTGTGTGCATTATTAATGAGATTTAAGAAAATATCAGCACAAAGGGTGAATGTATAAGGAGATAAGAGGTCTCCCTGTCTGAAACTATCATTGATAAGAATAGAGAAGGTCATCGAGGTAATGCATCTTATGATGGTATAAGTGTAGGTCTTAGGGAAGCCCGTATCAAGGAGAGTGTGTTCAATAAAGTCCCACTCTAACCGGTCATACACTTTCTCCATGTCCATCTTAATACCCACATAATTGGCCTTTCTTTTTTGGCTTATTTAAGTAGTCAAATTAACCTCAAAAAGAAATCGTAGTATTATTAGTAATCAATATTTTTCGGGAAAAATACTTTGTTTTTTACTAAGGATAAGGGGAAGAACTCTTTTCATTCTGTTGGCAATGGTTTTAGTAACAATTTTTATGAACATTTTACACATAGTAACAAGTCTCTATTCGGTGGGGGAAGTAGGATTAAAGTCTTGGGAATAAGGCAAATATGGATGTGGTTGTAGTATTTAGGGTTTCCATTGTGGTTAAGGATGTGAATGACAAAATTAGTAATGGTCGGGCCTATAATGTCCCAAAAATATTGGTAGAAAGTTGTAGGCATAGCATTCGGGCCTGGGGCTACCATAGATTTAAATTTTTGCATGGCCTGGTATACTTCATCTGAAGTGTAAGTTTTATGAGATCCTCAACAATATTGGTATCTAGAATATTCCTATATATCTCAAGAATATCTTAGATGTTGTTGTTCTAGTTGAGTGTTCTAGATTTGAATTGGTCCTCAAAATGGTGGATGAATATAGACTGGATCTCTTTCTTATTGTAGGTAAGTCGTCCATCAATATTCATGATGGTGTTAATCATGTTCTGAACCTTCCTTTTTGAGGTAGAATTATTGAAAAGTTTAGTATTTTGATCTTCTATTTTGAGCCAGTGTGCCTTAGACCTTTGGTCCCACCATAGTTCTTCATGATACAACAATTAATCCATATCATATTGGATTTTGTTAACCTAACATTTGTTCTTATTATTGCATTTATTCTTACGAGCCTTCATAAGACTAGTTTGTAAGCACTTTACCTTCTTGTCAAAAGCTCCATAGTTTGTTTCAGTTGCCCTTTAACCATTTAAGGTAATAGTTTTGTGATGGATTTGGTATGTCTACCTTTACATCAAATCAATGTCATCCTAGGGATGAACTGGTTAGAGTTCAACTATGTCTATATCAGCTGCTACAGCAAGACTGTGAGGTTCCCTGAGATTGGTGACGGTGGAGAACTAACCTTTTTATCTACTAAGCAAGCAAAAGAACTCGTAAAAGATGAATCTCATATTTTTGCAATGTTTTCATCTTTGCACGTCGACAGTGGAGCTGCAAGTGTCGATTTACCTGTTGTATGTAATTTCTAAGATGTATTTCCAAACGATATTAGTGACTTACTGGTGAGTTTTAAATTGTTGTGAATTTGAGTATGAATAATTATAACTCATTATCTTAATTCATTTGCTTTTCCTCAATAAACCTTAACTTTTGTGTATATTTTCTATAGTTTATGTTATAGTGTATATCATGTGTTATCGTGTAAATATCATTGATTTTAACTATTTTTATCTCATTTTTGCAGGTATTCAAGCAATGATATTTAGTCATTGTTAGATAGAACATTGAATAATCTTTCCAACGATTCCTACTATGCCTAAATTGGAGTCACGGTTCTCAAATTATGACGAAAACAAAAGCTATTTTTTCTCGACATAGCAGAGTGCGCTTAGCGGGCTCCTACGGGCTAAGCGCGACCTGCAACTTTGAAATTTTATAAATATAGTTAAAATCAGATTTTTAGGGTATGGTTTAGGTATATTTTGCTCCCAACTCCATCACCAACAATCTTTGAGATTTTAGGCTTAGAAAACAACATTTGAAGGTTGCAAATGGATGATCTGGGATTGAAGCTTCTTTGGTCGTGATTGACACCGTGAAAGATTTGGTTTTCTTCTCCATTATTCTCTTTGTAAGCTTCATTTGTTGGGGTTTGTTTGTAAGTATACTTGTTTTGTATGTATATTTGTTGTTCATGGTGTTGTATAAAACCTCTTTTACAAATTAATATTGTTGTTTGTATGCTTTGTTTGGGTTTGAGTTTCTATAGACATGCACGGTTTGAATATGGACTTAGGATGAACATCTATTAGGTTCTAGATTCTAGAAATAGATTTAGGCTTAATATTCACGTGGGTATCGGTTCTTAATGCCTCTATGTTATTTGAGTTGCACACGACATCGCCTCTGCGAGCAATACTGTTGATATCTCACTTTGTGTTAAAAATAACCTTTGTGTGGGAGATACGTGATGATTTTGATGAGTGGTTTAGGTTGCATATAACTGAGTAGTATATTTAAGTATTTGACGGGTATATGAAATTCAATCCCGAAAGTTCTCCTCTCTGAAGAATGTATTTATTTTCTGTTAATAACTTTACTTTCCGCACCTCATACCTTAAACCCATTT